ACCTCTAGGAGTAGGTGATGTTGTTGGACTAAAAGCTGCAGGTCCTGGAGACATTTATCGCAGAAAAACATATTAACGGTAAATAAATAACAATCATGAATCTAGATTTGTACTACGGAGTATAAATTACGGAGTACGGATTATTATGTTTTGGTAATAGTAATACCTGGAGCTGGAAGGGGAGCTGCAGAGGCTATATTTCAGTCATGAAAAAAAATCAGATATGGTTAAGTCATGATCAGTATTTTGTACCATATTATCCAGTAATTCATATTCTAAACACAACCAAAAAAATAACCCCTATCTCAATAATATGACTATATAAAATGAAAGCAACTAGTAATATAATAATCAATAAAAACATATCATCATTCATTTGAGAAATTGTGAAACACATACATAACACAAAAAAATAGATCAATACAGCTACATGATTATAGACAATGACAGCCCCCTAGATTACCTTCTATAACTGTATATGCAAGAAGAACCAAAATGATAAACATCACAACCAAAGATAGAGTATAATTGGCTTAATCCTTATAATGTAAGATCTTAGGCACTATTTTATTTAAGGTTCCAGAGTTCCTTCAAAGTTGAATCCTACCAACTTCGGTAGTTTTTCTAAGCAAAGGACCGATAGAGGGATAAAGAGAGCCATTAAAAAGGAATGATAGGAGACATAACCTGACCACCAAACATTACATTAAATCATCAATATGAAGAGCAAAAAAACTATCTTTCTAGTTGTCAAAATGGTACTTATGGACATTAGAATCAAAATAAGCTATACATTCTTATGAATAGAAAGCTAAAGAGAAAAACTATTGACATTAAACCTTACATTAATAGACAATCAGACTTAAACAACACTAAGAAGATAGAATGTGGGATATTTAAGAGAATAATTTACCAATTGAGCTTGTTGCTCGCTTGATTGCCTCAGAATGAGGACAATGCACAAAATTGATATACATGAGACATCGGTGCTAGTGTTTCATCGACTCTTCCTGATTGAAGCATGAAAAGTAGCGGATATAATAAAGTGAGAAGGATTTATGAAATTATCATCCCCAACTTTCTTATTCTAATGACCTATGAGCACATATCCAAAACTGAATTAAACACAAATGAGGATATATATATTTATATATGTGTGTGTATGTGTGTCAGTGACTCAGTGTGTGTGAAAATTGAAAAACTCAGATATACAATGGAAATGGATTAGAAATTCACCTTCTAAGCTGAGATATCGGTTTGTTTAACCCTGGACTTGGTAATATTGGTTATTTGAAACCTTATTGAAGTATTTATTCCTATAACAGTAAAGATATTAGTGTCTATTTATAGTCTAGCTAAGTAGACATGGTTGTCAAGAAATTGATAAAATTAAGAAATTTTGAGAGGAGTTACCTTTCAAGAATATTATCATGAATTTTATCAAACACCTGGGAATAGCCTAGAGATCCCGTTGCCACCCACTGACCCCAGCCCTGTCCAACGCCGCATCACTGACACCGACCATCAACGCCACTTTTAGAGCCAAAACATCGCTCATCGTCGAACAGTATCGCCCATTGCAGCACTCATTTAAGGCCGCCAGCTCTATCAAACAAACCCTAGGCAGATCCGTACTTCATCGTCGTAATCAATGGTAGAGTTGCATCCGTTGACTGTTGCCATCATCAGCAATTTCGTCGTCATCCGGTGCAAGGCCGCCATAGCCGGGGTCCTGTGCAAGGCCGTGGCCGTCGCCCGTTGCAAAACCATCGTTCTCAATTAGTCTCTGTCGCCCTCAGCCAGACCATTTTCTTCCTCAGCCAGACCATCGTCGTCTTCAGGTAGGCCGCCATCTTCCTTCAGCCAAGCCGCCTCCACCTTCATAAAAAACCCTAGTGGAAAAGGTAAAGTGAATAAGTGATGCTACGTACAACAGAGAGCTGGGAATTTCGACGGTTGAGTAAGGAAGGGTTTGCAGGGGTGTTTTGTCTTCCGATTTTATTTTCCGTGTATTAAACTCTCGATCTGTGTAGGCTGGCCCATTAATTAGGTGTGCGTTAAGTCCAAGTATACTCCGTAAAAATGTGAAGTGTCATTATGTATTTGTGTTAGAAAACAGTGACGCTTTTGTGTTATTAGTGGCATTATATCAGAAAGTGTCACTACAAAAGTGTCATTGTAAGCCAGTTTTCTACTAGTGATTGAAGAACTACTACTCCAAAATATAGTGTTGTTATACATTTAATATTTTCCAAAATAACTAATAGAATATATATATATATATATATATATATATATATATATATATATATGTATATGTATGTATGTATGTATGTATGGAAGAGTTCAAGATTAATGCATTCTTGATCAAATTTAGTGCACAAGATTAATTCTCACTTTGTATGTGAAGCCCTCTTTGTATTTGAACCCTCCTCTATATATATAGTCTTTATAGATATGATATTTAATTTAATGTGGTATTGAAAAAATACAAGTGTACTACAAAGTATAAAAATATTTTGCGCTACTATTCTATTAGACGAAACACAAGATTATGGGAGACAAAAAAATTACAAGACAATAATTAAAAATAGTTAATTAGAGGTTTTACTTAACTTTTTAGAGAAGCTAAATTTGCAAAAAATAGTTACGTCTTTATTTTGATGTTATGCTTATTTTTGTTATCACATTTCACAAATGTATATTTTATGGGACGTCCTGAACCGTCGCAGTTTTTCTCGGGTTGTCCCGGTCCCGTTTTAAATGGGACAATATTGGGATAATGACTTATCTCGAACCGTACCGGATCGTTATTATAAAACCGGATCGGGATCAGGATAAGCCAAATCTCGGACCATCCTGGCCCGCCTCCACCCCTAATTTGTCCTACACCGGGAAGTTATAAATCAATAAAACACTATATAAGGCTTTTGGTTACTCCTCTTATCAGATTGTCCTTTTAGGATGGAACTTCAAGTCCGATCATGATTAAATGCTAAATGCAATTAGAAAAAGGATAAATTTAAAACATTCGTGTTTGTTCTTGTATTCATAAACCTTCACTTCCTCTGCGCATGATTTGGATATATAAAAAGTTGTTTTATTTGTGCTTAATTAGTGTGCTTGTTTGACTGTGAATTGTAGACCCCAAATGTGTCACTAACTAGATTATATTGACAACAGAATGAAGGAGAAGGAGCAACACCATCTTCAGGTGGAGATGAACAAAGTGGTGGAGAAAGAAAAGGAGACGCAACACGACAACAGTATTCGGGAATGCAGGAAAATCGGAGAAAAGGAATGAAGGAGAGTCTAGAGGAGGTGGTGGTGAGGAAGAAGGAAATGGGGAGGAGGAACATGATGATAATGCTTCTCTTTCTCCAAGAAAAATCTGGGTTGTTGATGAGAATGGTATACCAATATAACCTATTTGTCAGGATGCTCTGTCCAGTTATGAAGATCTGGACAACAAGGTCAAAGCCGAAGGTGGGTGTGGGAACTCCTATATCTAACTTGGGGCAACCTCACTCTTAGATCCAGAAATGATGTCATGGAGGTTGTTTAAACAAAGGCTGCATATTGTGAAGGCCTTTGACCAACCAAAGATGTTCACTTGGCCCATCTGTCTTTAATTACGAGAATAAAGTAAAAATTGTGTGATTGAAGTTTGACCGGTACGTGGATGAATAAAGTAAAAATTGTGTGATTGAGATTTGTGTAGAGGAGAAAGAATTAAATGAAGCCACAAATTTTTACTTAAAAAGGAAAGTGACAAAGTTAGTGGGACATCCAAAAAATGAATATTGATAAGTTTTAATGGACGAAGGAAGTATGTGTTTAGTTACGAGAGCCCTCATAATTATAAAAGGAAATATAAGCTTAAACTGTTAAACGCCAATACGAAGCTGACTAAGGTCGAATAAGGATTTAACAATAATACAATAATAGTCATAGGAAACTAAGGTAGTCTTAGGATGTTTTTAACAATGATGTCATGGAGGTTGTTTAAACAAAGGCTGCATATTGGGCCGAAATATTGGACTGTTGTTGTAATCAAGCCCGTTGAGTTTCACTTGGCCCATCTGTCTTTAATCCTTACACGGCCAGCAGATGGGAAATTTCCTAGGGTAATTGTCTCACCAGCAGATCCTCCTAAACCTTTAGATGACCATTGACCAGGCCAGCTCAACCATTCTCTGGTGTCGCCGGAAATGGAGGGAGGGAGAGGCGCAGAGCAACCTTCTGACAACCTCAGCTGCCATGCCTTGCTGCTTGCTCGCGCACAGACCTCATTAATTCGAAACGCTGGAAACACCACTGGTACCGTGGCTAGTCGTCACCGGAAAGTGAAGAAGGTCCCACAAACTACTGCTGCTTGGGTTGCTCCTAGCGGGGTCGCAGCTTGGGTCGCTTGGGAGCTTCGTCCGCTCATCAGAACGAATCCGTCTGGTTGATAGGGTGTGTCGGGGCGTGAGTTGCGACATGGAGCAACTGGTAGTGAGGTCCAACGGGGTTGGATCTGGAATGGCGAGCACAGGACGATGATGACAGCTCCGGCTCAGGGGAGACATTTTTGGAGCAGCTCCGGTCCAGCGGGGTTGGTGGCGAGATTTGGAGCAGCCGCAGACGTTTCCTCGCGCGGGAGCATCCAGGACGATGATAACAGCTCCGGCTCAGGGGGTATGGCGAGTTCCAGATGAAAGATTCTATTGTGGCGGCTTGGCGGACGGCGGCGGCTGACGCCAGCACCTCCGACATAAATCTAGAATATTCCAGATTCTTTTTTTTTTTGCTGACAGTTTTTGCTCCATTTTTTTTTTGAAATTTCAGAACAGTTTCTAGTTGATTTTTTGTGATTGGAATGAGTTTTTGGAGATTTTGGGAGGAATCTAACTTGATTTTGCTCTAATCTCTCAACGAGAGCACCATTAATGGATTATAGGAATCCAAACATATAATAAATTGAGAGATTTGAGCTATGAAAGTGAAGAAGATGAAGTGTAGTGATGTGTATGAATATAGAAATGAGAGTTAGGGTTTACAAGCTCCAAAAGGAGTATATATAGAAGAAATCCGAGTCTGGGCCTCTAATATGGGCCTGACAGACCCGGTTACATAAATGGACTGATAATATAAAAGGCTAATCTAGAACACCTGAATAATAATAATGTACAATAATGAAAATGTTATCAGCTGAGTGTACGTGGACCGCTGTCCGGGCCCAATAGTCGTGAGATCCAAGGGTCCGAGTCTATATACTCTATCAAGAAGCCTCTATTCTTTTCCCTTATTCTTGACTATTCTCTATCAATAATAGTCTTTTGCTCTATGTTTCAGAACTTTCAAAGTTTTTTGGGAAGTTAGATCACACAAAAGTAACAAACATTTCCTCAGAAGATCTGAGAACTTTCCCAGTTAATTTCTTACTATGATGGACTAATAGAGTATGTAAAATAAATACAAGTAGACGACTTCTTCCAAATATGAGATCCTCTACCCGACTCGGAGAGTGCCTTATGCAACCGACGGCCGGATGGGAAGAAGAGCACCTCGAGATACGCGAAAAAGTGGACCACAATAATCGCCTACCGTTGAGTTCTCGATCGGACGGTCTCCCTCGGCCAGGCACCCTACCTTGCTGCTAGAGCAAGGCAGAGACCCCAAATCCGCAATGACCAACACTAAATATAATGAGTATAATATTAAAAGAAACTAAAAAATCCGCAATTGTACGCTATGATGGTTTATGTGCAAAGGGAGGACCACGATCCGTAAACCTATAATCTAATCTATATAAGAATAAATTTCACTTTTGATCCTACGAGTTTTGTGTTAATTCCACATTTAGTCCACGTCTTTCACTTTGTTCACTTTTGGTACTTGATTAATGTTTTTTAACCATCTGTGGTCCTTTCCGGCGATTTTAACCATCGAAAACAATGTCGGAAGGACCATATATGAGCGAAAATATAGTAGCCATGTATCAAAAGTGGACAAAGTGAATGATGTGGACTAAATGTGGAATTGACCTAAAAATAGGACAAAAAGTGGAATTTATTCATCTATATAATAATACTACGTACTTGTATATATTTGTGTATATATTGATATATAAGTTGGGTGTCATCTACAGGTGGGATCATATGAAACGAGTGTTGAATCTGCCGGGAGGAGAGGCAAGCTTTGGATGTATAACAGAAGCCGCTTCAAATTCTCCGTTGAAATGGCTGCCAAATCAATGACTTCCCGAGAGTTGGTGCATATCCAAAGGTCTCCAGAATTCACTCTTTTCAGACTATCTCGGCAGAAAGGGCATGACTGGGACCGAGCACGCCTACAATACACCCAACCCACCACCATCAATTAGCCGTGTTATATTACTGCAAACCAAAGAAAAGTAAAAAAAAAAAAAAAAAGAATTCCCTAAATTGGAGTAAAAAAGTTTTAAAATTCAAAAATAGGAGGGAGTATCATGTTTTTTAGGAGTATCATGTTTTAAATTTCGAAGGTTTCGATACCTCAGTTTATACACCAATCAGATTTTTTTTAAAATGGAGTTGCACCTCTCATAAAAAGGAAAACTTCATATGTAATTTACATGAGATTCAAGGAGAAACTAACTCAATCAAAATTCAGCGAATACTTTATTCCAATTTCGAAAAGCTTGTTTTATATTTTTTAAAATAAAAAATCAATTGTCTAACACGTGATTTTTTTTATTGCTCTAACGCATGAATTTTAGAAGTACTCAATATTTGTTATGATAAAAATAAAAACAATACTACCTCCGTCCTATTTTATGTGTCTCATTTTCTTTTGACACGATTATTAATATTGGTTGAAAATGTAAACTTGTGGTTGAAATTTGAGTACAAGGGCATCTTCATTGCTAGAATTATTGTCAAAACATTTGTCCCACACCGGAAAGCTATAAAACAATTAAACACTATATAAAGCTTTGACTACTCCTCCTATCAAATTGATCTTTTAGGATGGAACCCCGAGTCTTAACAATTATTAAGAGATTAAGTTAGTGACATGACAGTTTTTAGAAAATTATCGTTGAGTGACATAAATTATTTAATGAGATTATTTGCTAAAATAATCCGATATCAAGATATGAATCTGATTATCTTAAGATTATTTGAAAAGTATATGTAATATGTTGATGGATGATCGAGAAAAATGTGAATTATTTGAAGATGATGGTTGGGAGGCATACATGAATTTTGAGATTATTTAAAAACTAATTATGTAACAATATTTAAAAGGTAAGAATGCTAGAAAATATTGATTTTTAGAGATTATGAATGGTGATGCTCTAATAAATAAAAATTCATATATATTTAACGAACCTTCCTAATGAATTTTAGCTTCACACAATCGAACAAAAAAATTAACCAGGGTTTAATACCCGTAGTATATAAGAAGTAGATGATTTCCTGTAATTAAGGTTGATGAGAGATGTCAATCGACTATTTTCTATTTTCCACTTAAAACAAGATGTGTGTGCAAGCATGAATGTGTAATTTTCTTTCCCATCCCCTAACTAGGAATTCGGGAGGCATTAAATTGCAAATACAAATGTGAGGTGGCAGTTTCCTGTATTCCGATTGGTTTAGAAAAATATGGGTACCGAGAACCTTCTAATTTATGTTGGTACCATAGAAGAACCCTGTTTTTTATTCCTTGAATAGGAATAAATTTCTACCAAGTTTGACATTACTAGGCTTTAAAACATGGCATTTTTCTACCAAATTTCCTTATTTGGTTATTCCAAAACTTTTGACCAAAACAGTTCAAATTAAATTAAGGTCCGCACACTAAAATACTTGGTGTTGAATTTGGTTATTTGGTTATCCTTGTTTGGTAACAGTAAAGTTGGCTGAATTGGCTGATTCTGCTAAAATTTATGAAGTTCTGACTGAAGTTGCTGTATTGGCTGATTCTGGTGATTCTGTTGATTCATAAAAAAATTATATTTAAAAATATTTGTTATTAATAAATAAAATAAAAAACTATATGAAAAAATAGCTAAAATGATCCTCTACAGTAACTTCAGCCAATACAGCCAGAAAAGTAACTCTAACCTTACTCTTTCTGCTTATTACATAATTCAGCGCGCAAAATCAAAAGTTGCGTGTTTGATGAAAAAGTTGGCTGATAAGCCTGATAAGTCTGATAAGCCGAAAAAAAGGTTACCAAATGAGCTCTACAACTTGATGATAAGTAGTCACAATCTTAACACGCTATGGAAGATCCAAAGAGAGGTACAGAAGACTTGATGTCTGTAATGGAATTGAAACTTTGGGTTATTTAAAGAAAAGAGGGTGGGGAAAACTATCAATCCAAACTCCCTAGAGCAAACAAAAATAGGGAGTTAATTGAGCAATAATCTGAAAACAGAGCAACCCTTCAAAAATCAATGTGATGTTCAAGAATGAAATAATCAAAGCTGGGAGCCTAGGACTTGGTAGGGAGTTCTTCTTTGAAAAAGTCATACTCCCTCCTCTCAAATTGAATTGCAAACTTTGACCAGCACAAAGATTAAAAAATGACAATAAATGATCTTGCTTTTTACACTTTTGCCCATTTTTCAAAAAGTAGATGTCTTTAAGTTAATGAGAAAAAGTAAAAGTAAGGGTAAATTTGTCACTTTATTCTTATTTACATACCTAAAATAGAAAGTGGAAAACCATTTTGGAACAACTAAAAAAGGAAATTTTGCAAATCAAATTGGGACGGAGGGAGCAGAAGGATACAGAGAATCCAAAATTACTCTGTACAAAATGTATTAGGTGTATGAAACCCTATAATATTCTAAAACACTAGTTAATACTCCGTACTTAATAGTGAAGAAACTCCAGAACGGCACTTAAAGAAAACGAGAAGGGAGTACAAGACAGTTCGGCACTACAATTACTCCATACAAAATGTATTTTGAGTGGAATTCCAGAAAAAGAAATGTTTATATGAAAATCAATTCAGAGAGACACCTGTAATGTACTTGGTCTCAAAAGAGACATCTTATGAGTGCCTTTTGACATTTAGTAAACACTTGTCAAAAATATCACCCAAAGACCGACCTACCCAAAAGGCAAAAGCACATCCAAACAGGGCCGGGTGAGTTTCAGCCAACAAAATAATGAGTCAATAATTAGCTAGCTAGGCTTGAAAAGAATGTGAAAGTGCAGTTTCTAGCCATAACCACCCACCAGCAAAAACTAACCAGTAACTCTGCAGTTTGAAGGCCAATTTAACCATAATAAATCACCATTAATGTGGGTCTAGTTAATATCAGTTATGGGAATTTAATTTGTAAGTTATGGCATCAAATAATTATATGGCACTACACAAGGAATAATAAAATCAATGGAGAAATAAAAGCTAAAAAACTCCATGCTTACCAGTTTCTATAGCACTTCATACACAAAGCATGGTTGCATCCAGGCAACACAACTTTGGGTTCCAACTCCAAACAAATCCCACATTCCTCCTCCCTCTCCACTTCAATTTCAGATAACTTTCCCTTTTTTGCTTCATCCCCTTTGCTGTACTTATTCTCAAATATCTCCCTCTGCTTCCTCTCTTCCACATCAGTGATTCCCCTTTGAAGTTGCAAGAGTGAAGGGAATATCACACCTGTTCAAGATCATCAATATACTCAATCACAATTAATGAAAAAAATATACTCAGAGTAAATGAGAAATAAATTATAGCCCCCTATTTAACACAGAATCATTAGCTTACCATAAAACTCTCTTAAGGTAGCTTTTCTTTCATGGACACACATACTTGTCTTACCATTCTCATAAGCCTGCAACAATCAACAATTAATGAATCATTATTGTCATTTGGTGATTTCAGCTCCAAATTCATAAACTATTGAGTATTATTACTAGTTACTACCTTGAATATAAGGATCCTAATCAAACCGAGCGCACCGGCGAATTTACAATCAGCCCATTGAACAAGAAACATAAACATATGAGCACAGGGACTGTATGAGAGCCTCATTTGAAGGCAAGCACCCCCATATGCTCGTGGGTAATCTGAAGCCCTGTGTGTATCTCAACAAAAACCAGTGTTATCACTCATAAAACGTCAATCTTAAGTACAACGAAATGCACATATTCTGCTATGGAAGGAACGAAATCATATGGGGAAAGAAATTAATCGATCAATCCATACATGAAATAGCCCATAGAAATTTCATCACATTTGAAAAGTTTAATTCCCTGACCTTCAAGTGTAAACAAAGGATACACAGAAAATTTCTAAAACGGTACCAATCAATTCGAATGAATTATAATTAGTAAACTTATTCTCCGGCAAAATTAAGCAATTAAATTACAGTGAGCTCAAAAATAGAATTAGAAGAAACGCAAAGGAGAAGAAGATAAGATGCATACAGAGTATTAGCGTGTTGAATATCAGCTTCCAGAGCTTTGAGTGAATCTTTAAAAGACTTCCTCATCACGTTCCATTCACTCAACCTCGCCTTCGAACTCACGCTTAAAACTACGCGAAGCTTCTGAAGAAATAAATAATTTAAACCCTGCCCCCACCCAAAAAAGGCGATCGTCTTCCCGAAATCCTATACAGCCGGCAGTCGGTGGGTCAAAAAGAGGGGCCTAAGTGTAGAAATTTCATAGGATTGATTTTAATGGTGATTTTTGGGGTTAGAGAGAGAAGGATCACTCTCTTTCTGTTGGTAGGCAGGGTGGAGGTGGCCGGGTGGGTGGGTTCAGGCGGCTCTGGCTTGGGCTGCACGCCTCTTCGCCTTTTTGTTGTTATGCTGAGTACTACTAAGCTTTTCGGTTAGATTCAGGTAGAAGAAGATTGCAGCAGCGACTGTTTTCTTTTACGCTTATACCCCTACTACATTCTTCCACATAAAGGAAATAGGCTTAATTTGATAAAAGAATCTAAATTTGATAAAAGTATAATTTATGAAATAAAAGATTAAAAATGATTTAAGTTGATCATGTAAATAGTGGATGAGAACCTTCCAATAGATAATACGTAATACGGAGTATTTAAATGTGTTTTTTAAAAAGGAAAATTTTATGGTGCACTTGCGTTACAGAGTGTTTTGGCGTAAATTATATCCTACAACCGGTTGTACCTTGAGCATGGTACAACCGGGTATTTTTGTAATATATTTGAAGTCCATGCCTATTATTTACGCAACATGCTCCCACTAGAGTTTTTGTCACTCTTAGTCTCTCGACTATTATGTCAGTAACATTTTTGGTATTCGACTTTTAATTTTTCCATTTTTAGTCCTCGACTATAATGCGAGAGACACTTTTGGTACCCGACTTTAAAAAATTTTGTATTTAGTCATTCGACTTTTGTAAAAGTGACACTTTTGGTCTTTCAACTATTGCAATGGTGATATTTTTAGTCCTTCACTTATTATGTCAAAATCATAGTAGAAGGACTAAATTTTCAATTTGATAATACTCAAAGGACTAAATGTGGGAAAATTGAAAGTCGGGGACTAAAAGTGTCTCTCGCACAATAGTCGAGGACTGAAAATGGAAAAATTAAAAGTCAAGTACCAAAAGTGTCACTGACACAATAGTCAGGGTGTCACACCCCAGACCTATCCGGACACGTCAACAATCCGTCGTACAATATGAATAGTCAACCGCAGTCTAACTCATTCATATTATACAAGGCGTCTCGAATATCATTCACACATTAGTCATCCATAAACATACATAATGTAAAACATTCATTAAAGCAGCGGAAACATTAATACAAGTGTTCAAGCCACACTTGGCAACTTAGGCATACAAGCCCTCAAATAATTATTCAAAAATAATATCCATGAGCATTATTCATATTGTTTTCAAAACAGAAACGGAAGAAGCACGAACCAAGTCTTCTTCCTTTGATCTCCCCGAAGCAACGGGCGGTGGTAGCAACCTTCAAGTTCTACCTGAAACTGTGAGGTGGCCTCCCCCGTGAAGGGGATGTCAGTACTTTGAAGCATTTGAAAAGTACAATGACAACTACACTGTATATAATCAATGTTTCAATTTCTAAGACCCTCAATCTAGGGTGATACTATATTATAGGCCGTAACCCTCGGTTACCCTATTCAAAACCTACTTACCTTATATATAAGGTCAAGTAGTCGGCCCGTGGGCCCATGCTTACCTTATTACGTCATTTCACCATAGTATAGTCACACTCACCGATATCATTCCGTCGTGCTAGAGGCTGACTCTAGTCACTCCATTTCGTGCTAGAGGCTTCCTCTAGTCACTCTACATTATGCTAGAGGCTTTCTCTAGTCATTTCCCGTCGTGTTAGAGGCTTCCTCTAATCACTCTTCATTATGCTAGAGGCTGACTCTAGTCATCTTACGTTGTGCTAGAGGCTTCCTCTAGTCACCTTTCCATATGTTAGAGGCTTCCTCTAATCATATCATTAAGATTCCTAAGCAACTTCTATGCTTAGAATCACTTGATATTGAGTAGTCTTTGAGGCCTACTCCTAGCTTAACTTAGCATTTATACATTCCTACCTTAAGGTATCTCATATGACTACTTAAGGTACATCTTTCATAATCCAAGCCCTTGGGATTTATTCTATCAATTTTCATGCTAACATTCCAACTAGTATTTCAATACTAGTCAAATAATCTTAGAGCATCCAAGTTCGAATTTACGATCATATTGCTCATCTCAAGTGATTTTCCTTTTCAAATATGATCTAATAATCTTAATGTCATAATATCACTTTTATCCATTCATGAATTTTCTACATGAAGTAAAAGCATATCTTATCGCAATATTTCACAATTTATTTCATTATCATGCACTCATATTCATAATACACAATCATACACAATTTCCTCCAAATTTGTATATCATGCTTCATTTACTCATATGAAATAGTATTTTCATTTAGGCATTATTAATCATTAATGATCCATGAAAATCACAATTAATACTCTAGGCAATCTTATGAAATTAACTCACTAATTATAAGCAATATAGTCGGTCATCCTCACCTTAAATGAGCTTTAAATTTCTCCTTCTTGATCCAATGGTCAAAGCTTCGGCCAAGGTGGATTAAGAACTGATTCCTTGCTTAAATATGAGTGTTAAGCATCCTCCTCACAATGCTAGCTCAACCCCTAAACGTCGACACGAAAACAGTCCCTAGAACGGGTGTTTTCCGGCGAATTCGTTCTCTAACCTTTCAAGGTTTTGTCTAGGTTAGTATCTAACCTTTCCAACATATAAAGTTACTCTATAATAACATTTTATACACTTAAACCAGTGTATAATAGTTCTTCAATCATTCATAGGATTTAGGCAATAGAAAGGAAGGTTTTGGATTTGAACTTACTTTGAATACCAAAAACGTATTCTGCGAGGTTTCGTTGTGTTCAGATGATTTGGAGGCCTTAATCTGATCCGTTTGACTCAAAACGAATCTCTATGGATTCCTCTTTTTGATAGGTTTCTTTTGGAACCTCACACGTCTCGATTGGATCTGTATTACTCAAGATACATTGTAAACAGTGAGCTCCACAAACTGGAATGAATCCCTACGGTCAGCTCTTCTTCTTCTTCCTTTTTCTTGGGTTGTGAGGCTCTCCCTTCATCCTTATCCTTTTAGTTCGAATGGGGGTGAGGGAGAGGTGTTTAGAAGCTCTCAAATGCTTATCCTCACATGTGGTTCACAAAAATAGGTAGAGTGTTTGATTCTAATCAAACATGGGATGGTCCTCCTCTTTTATTTCTCTTTTGTATTGTTTGAGCTCTCAACTCAATAGGTCCGCCCCATTTATGTGTTCTAACTTATCCTACCTGTTTTGCAGGTGCTAGGAAGGTGTAGGGCGTACTCTCATGCATCCTAATTAATTTGGGAGCAAAATATCTACCAATACATCCAAAAGTGGAAAGATGAGTCCTATTGTTTTTAATTTATCTTTTGTCATAAGATGTACTTTTGTACTATCCCCAATTTATTTAGATCAAGTCAACCTTATACATCATATTATTGGTCTCTAATATGTGTAGGGTGGTCCCAATAATTTATTTGATGTATGATTACAAAAGAAAACCCTACTCCCATTATTTAGCCTAATAATGCCAAAGATGGGACCATAGGCATTTGTATTCTTCTCCAATCATTCCATCATTCAATTATGATACTAATATTTATATATTTGGGCTACCAACCGTGTGGGTCACCCTGCAATGGGTCTAGGACGTCATTCTTGAATAATTACTATTTTTAGCAGGTTAGGCCCAAAATAACATTTGGGCTGCCCGACCGCACTTACATTGTACCGAGGGATTGTATATCTTTATTTAAGCACGTTGGACCCCAATATCAATAATATGGCCTAATGAATTATTCAGAAGTCCATTACCCTTATATGAGCTCAAATAGTAATATGATTAATCATACGTTCCGTAAAACTTTAATCGTTTTACAATTGTTCGAAAATAGGAAAATTCAATACATAAGCATTGAAATTAAATTTAAATTTTCAGGACGTTCGGATGCGGTGTCACACGGGGGACCAAAAGTGGCAAAAACTCCTCCCACTATAACCTTTTCTTCTTCTTACGTTACTCCTCAGATAAGTGCTCTTCTTCTTGATTGCTCTACACTTTTTTCTTTTCTCTTCGTTTTTTTTGCGTTGCATTGACTTGTTTTGCTTCTTTCTTTTTGTTTGTTTTTATTGTTGCTTTTCGCTTCTTATTTTTTCTTTAACAATCTTTTACTTTATTTTTTTATTTAATTATTATGATTATATAAAATATTATTTATTGTTTGGGTTTGTTTTTTTCTTTGTGCATTACTAACTTAAATTTTTTAATTTGTGCATTATAAAATATTTTAGGTATTAATTTTTTTCTTTCTATTTTTAATTTTAAAATGAATATTTATTAGTTTATTAAATATTGTGTGTGAACTACTAACACGAGTTTTGTGTTATACAAAAATGAGTATAACTTAAAATAAATGTGCATACACAGTTGTTAATAATGAATCTACTAGATGTACATATTATAGAAAAGAGTTTATGTTATATTGAAATGAGTATAACGACTAAAAAAATGAGCATACACAATATTTAAAAAATGAAGCAGAGATTACGATGCTCAATATTAGACTCCTAATAATCAACAGAATAGATCTAGTACTAATTAAAAGTTCATTAATGCTCATTTAACATTAACCGTTATTTTCATCTCAATATAGGAGATTTGATGCTCGATGAAAATGTTACGACGTCCAACTAACAAATCTTACGATTTTCATATTTATGCACATTTTAAAAGTTGTGTATGCTCATTTGATACTGATATTATGCTCATTTTAAAATGGCATAACAATGCATATTTCAAAAGTACCATACTACATTAAATTCACATATTGAATTTTATAGAAGTTGATTATAGATATAATTTAATGAGTTTTTATAAAAGATAAAATAAGAAAAAGAAAGTGAATTACAATATATGAAGTTGATATCACAATACTCATTATTCGACTATTAATACTTAGTAAAATATGTTTGGTGCTCATTAACAGTGTACTAATGTTCATCTAACGAAAACCATGATTTTCACTGAAATTACAAAAATGCCACTGTTTTTGGTTAGGATATCAGCTTTCTTGTAATAACATGGTGCTCATTATTAGACTCTTAATACTCATTAAAATTGGACCATTGCTTATTAATAGTACACTAATGCTCAGATAGCAGAAACCGCGATTTTCACATTATATTACAAAAATGCCACCGACTGTACGGTGCTCACCGTATAGCCGGTTGTACGGTGGACGGACTCGTGTTTTGGTGCATTC